TTTTATTTCTGTATACATTTTTGTTTTTCCAATTTTTCCAAAAATAGTGTATATTTTTTAATGTATTTCTTTTCAATTTAAAATATTAATTTTAAGTCTCTTAATACCACGTCAATTCATAAAAGCTAAACTTATTTGATTGCATCTTATAGCATTTTTATTGCATATATAGAAACTCTATAATGTATAAAGATAATTTAATATATATAAATAATAAACAAGTATAGAGTATAATGAAAATAAATTTTCGCATTTGCACCCATTAAGCCATATGAATTTAAATGAATGTATGAATAATATTTATTTATTGTTTATATTGCAACTATATAATGATTCAATGGAAAAGGCAAAATGTTAATTTATACACCAGCAGCAGGCAATAAAAATGAAAATAGTTAATTGCTGAAATTAATTGTGTGCAAATATTAGTGGAGCATTACAATAAACTGAGCGCAATTGCACAGTGTCAGAGCATATGGTCAGCCGGTCCGATGGCCAGAGCAAACATATTCTGTGCGCAACAGGATGCGCTGCCTAACACGTGAGCACAGGCCGAACATGTCAAGCAAATGGCGTTAGCCAACACTCGACTGCCATTGCCCCCAATTGGCCTGCATTTCCGTCGCTGGCATATCCGTTTCCGTCAATGCTGCCATAATAATTATTATTTACCTTTTCGACCTCTTTTTTCTGTTTTTCTGTTTTTGTTTGGCCGACTGCATTTAATGCGTCATTTAACTGAGCCATGGAAAACCGTTAGCAATTAGATTCAAATGCTCGCCTACGATGGGAGTGGAGTGAGTTTATTAGTTATTGTGCAGAATTTTTTAGACTTATCTATCTTTTGCTGTAGTTATGGACTAAGAACTCTGCAGATGAATAATTCAAGAATTTTGTATAAAAAAAAAAAAGAATAATATATAAAAATTCGGTTTATTATTTGTATTTATTTTATTTTATCTTATTTATTTTACTTTTGCAGCTTCAAATGTTAATAAAAACATGTAGTTTAACTGATCGTTATAGATCGAAAAATTAGCTATTAATGGATGTATATAATATATTTATGAAAGTTTTATAATTAGCATAATTAAAATATATAATATGTAATCTCACTCAAGCTCTCATTTTTTGATGACTGAACAAGCATTATGCAGTTGGTTATACTCCACACAGACATACTCGCATTTCTTTGTTGTTGATTATTAGTAAACACTTTCACTTCAGCTACTCGATAAAATTGTATTAAAATTTGTGAATGCGTTATCGCTAGCTTTTCAGATTTTCAATTCGATCTGGACTGCCGTTGGTCAGCAGCTTGTCAATGGCAGCTATAATTAATTTGTACGGAAATCAGTTGGCTGTTGACAATGCAATCTCGGCGACAAATCTGTTTTCAATTAATGGCAAATTGTCGAGCACGTAAAGCCGTGCAAGCAACAGCAACAACTGGGCAACAACAACTGAGCAACTGCCAGTGGGAGCAGCTGACTGTGCAAGGCTTTGGCTGGCTTTCCAAAAACAAAGAGCAAGCCCAACTAACAAACAAAATGTTTTGGAAATATAGCTGAGTTCGTTGCAGTAAATGCTCCAAAATGTCCAAAGTGTGCTTAGACCAAAGGCATTTTCTACACCATTGCATTCTTCAAGTTTTGGGAACGGATAAAAAAACGTAACTAGAGCGTAGATTTATGGTAGAGTAATACTTTGTTGAAAAAGGCAAGTAATAACAGTGTTCGAACTAGTTAAGCAAATCACAGAGAGATAGCGAGAGAGAGAGAGAGAGAGGGAGATAGAGAGACAGAGGTCTCAATAAAGGTTCTATGTATGTATAGAGAAAGCCATTTTATCAGAGAAACAAGCCACAAATGGAGAAATAGCATCGTTATCATTTATAGAAACTCACGCACTTTGCAGTTGGCATAGAGAAAAGGAAAATGTGTGAATGCAAACATTGGAAATGGACCAAGAACTCTCTAGAGTATCCAATTGCGTCGATAGACAGACGTCGGCAGCGGCATTGGCATCGGGACATAAGTAAAATACTTAAGATAAGCAAAACTGTAGTTGTTGTTGTTGTTGTTGTCCTGGTCATAGCCATAAGCAGCAAAGGGGACAGCAAGGACAAACAATACAACAATGTATTCGAGTACTCAAGGGTGCTATTAACTAAAGGGTTACGCAATTACATGTTGCCAAGCAGACAGCAGACAGCAGACAGAGAGAGTGAGAGTGAGAGAGAGGCAGAGACAACAAACAAAAGCCAAAGGACTCTCGAAGCGGCAGCTGCGAGATATCTGAAACAGATTTCAATGTTACTTTTGTTGTTGTTTACATAAATTGTTTACCAATCTGGTCGAAAATCGGAATTTCAAATTTGGCCAACGAAAATTTATGCGCACATTTATACAATTTACATTTATACACACACATACACATGGAGACATACACATGTATGTGTGTGATGTTAGGCAAAGGATATGCATCTACATTTCATTTCATTTCATTTGTTTTGTGGCATATGAGAAAAAAAAAAACAGAACAAGGCAACCGAGCCAACAGAGACTTGGCCCAAAAGGGCCAACGAGCCGCATTTTGGCGGCTCTGCTTGTGTTTTCTATCGCCGGCTAATGTCCTTTGGGATAAGCACACATCAGACATGGCAATGCTGCCGCCGACTTTAAGGCTGCCCAATTATGTGTTATCCTGGCAATGGCCACAGTCCGGCATTGCACCTGAAATTGTGATTTAAATTGCAAAGCTAAACAACAATCAGCCACAAATGTCACTGTATGTGTGTGTGTGTGTCGCCTCGCTCAGCCTCCTCCATGTCCTACATGTCCTGCATGTCCTGCAAGTTTATGCGTAAGCAGACGATTTGCTGCTACCAGAGCTGCTGCTGTTGCATGTCAACAGTGGCGTTGACGACAGAGATTAAGATGCAAATTTCGGGTAAGGTACATGCAACAACAACAACAACACGAGCTGCCAGACAAAAGAGAGTAAGACAGAGAGAGCTAGAGAGAGAGAGAGAGAAAGAGAGGGGGAGAGAGGCATGCAATAGCAAAACACCTGTATCCTAGATCCGTCTCGGCATTGCCCTCAAAGTGCAAAGTGAATATTCATGTTGCATGTCAGGACGTAATACAACATTTGTGCCACATGGCCGACAGCAGGCAGCAGCAGAAACAATGTGCCCCAGATGTGCGCAGAGGGCAATGTGACGGTTGGTAAGCCGATCCGCAAAGTAAAGAGCAAATCACAGATGCATCAATCTCGGTCTGGACTTTGTTAATAATTACAATATTTAGCCAAATATGCGGAGGCATTTTCCAATATTTGACTGAAGACAAATATATGAAATGGATGAATTAACTGCGTTATACCCTGTAAATTGCTTGCAGCGTGGTTGCATTAGTCACTCTGTGTGCAATTAAATATAATTCAATATAATTGCGTGATGTATTAAACATTTAAGGATTTTTAAATAAAATAAATGAATTTCTAATATATGTTTATATTATTACATTATTGTATATGTGCAAGTAACAAATAAAATAGGAAATTATAAAATAAATAATACATTTAATCTACTCAGCAAGCTAGATAACTCGCTGATATTGAAAGACTTTAACTATTAAATCGATTGGGACTAACATAAAAAGACAAAATTGAGATAAAATTATATACAAACATATATAATTTATAAAAGAAAATGAAAATTTCTAATTTCATTTAATAATAAATCGCAGGACCGCAGGACTTCCTCAAGTATTCACTCTTGATTGATATGTTTTTCTTCTTCTCACCTCCTCCTCAGCTCAGTTTCTCATTTTGTTTGTATTGCGTGCGCCAACTCGTGGAAAGATCAAGCTTGAAGCTTCGTAAGCCTCAAACGTAATAAATAGACACTAATTGGAACGACTGACAATCGCGGAAAAAGGAAACACAATGCCTGTAAGGCAAGGGGAACAAACGGAAGGAAACGTATTTAGGGCAGCGAGAGCAAACGAAACGAATGGGCATTGTGATGAGATTGAAACGAATTCCATGTGAGAAACAGAGAGATAACCACACGGGTGACCGCTGCGGCGTTTTTACAAGTACATACATATATGCAATGTAAATCTAAGACAAATTATTTTTTATGCAAATTGTCGTTCCTAAGTTTCCATCTTAGAGCAACCGCCCAACACTCGCCACAATTAAAAGCTCTGCGTCATACGTTAAACAAATAATATGCATTAATTTTTGAGCTCTTAGCTTGCAGGCATATCTCTCTGTCTGCCTCTCTCTCTCTCTCTCTCTCTCTCTCTCTCTCTCTCTCTCTCTCTCTCTCTCACAGTCTGTCTATCTGTCAGTGCGACAGTCAAGACCATTGCAATTAATTTTAATGACATCTAAAGACATTTTTCTCCACACATCACACTCAGTCCGAGCATGATATAGAGCTAAAGGAAGGAAGACCGAGAAGCTGGCTCTTTATCTTTCGCTTTCGCTTACACACTCACTCTCACTCTCTCCCACCAGCTGTCTATCTCCCTCTCGCTGGCTTTAGTCATCCTGGCATGCACTGCGTATACGTGTTTTACGTAATTTCAATGATGTTGTTGGCCTGGCTATCTGCATAAATGTTTTATTATCTCACACCAGTGCGCAATTTTGCCTCGAGGCATCGAGAAATGGCCAACTCGTGTCAACTGACTTTTAAGCCATATTTAATCCGGCTTCAAGGGGAAATGCGCACCAGAAAACTGAGCAGCAGCAGCAACAGCATAAACTACAAAAAAAAAAAAAGCCAAAACACCATAACAAGCTGCCAGCTGAGTGGGTGCCAATGGGTGGGTGAGAGCGTCTGCTGCTCCTGCTCCTCCCGTTGCTGCTCCTGCTCCTGCTGCGGCTGCTGTTGCGTCCATTGTATGTAAGTATAAACTGTTGCGACAATGTCAACATGCGAAGTTCTTCCTACCGCAAAGATGACAGATGACCACTTCATGAACCCATGCATTTTAATCCGAACAGACGCGGCGAGGCCTGCTCTGCTCTGCTCTGATCTGGCCAAAAACAATGCCAAGTCCTGTGTCCTTTGTCCCAGCATCCGGCCAGCTGCCTGGTCAGAACTTGATTCCCTTCCTTCCCCGCTCTCTCTCTCTCTCTCTCTCTCTCTCCCCCGCTGTCCCTCAGTCTCTGCTGGATAATGATGGAAGTGCATTCTGTAAATGCAAAATATATTTTGCCATGTACAAGTTAAATGTGCGACACATAAATAATTTTGTACTACGTTGGACCAGGGCCAATGCATCAACAATGCGCTCATACAGTTGCCACCACTCAAACATATACACCCACACACATACACATGCACACACACACGTACTGTCCCTGTGTGTGTGTGTAACTGGGAGACTCTCCTCTTTTATGCATTACGTTTTAATTTTGCAAAAATTTATTTAAATGCGAGTATAATGTAATGTAAATTTCCATTCACTGCGACTCGCACGGACCGAGTCCTGTGAGTGGGCGTGGCTGTGGGATATAAGTATAAGTAGCCTTACATGGGTTGCCGCTACTCAAATTAATGGATTTTTAA